ATTTTTTTAGGAACGTCCTAGAGACTCGGGAGTTGGTTCATTGCACTCAGAAAAATCCTAGCTCCAAGCCCAACCCTAACCCTAGCTCCAACACTAACCCTAACTCCAACCCTAACCCTAACCCATGCATTCCTATGGGAAAAAAAAACATTTTTTTTTAGGAACGTCCTAGAGACTCGGGAGTTGGTTCATTGCACTCAGAAAAATCCTAGCTCCAAGCCCAACCCTAACCCTAGCTCCAACACTAACCCTAACTCCAACCCTAACCCTAACCCTAACCCTAGCTCCAACCCTAACCCTAACCCTAACCCATGCATTCCTATGGGAAAAAATCAAATTTTTTTAGGAACGTCCTAGAGACTCAGGAGTTGGTTCATTGCACTCAGAAAAATCCTAGCTCCAAGCCCAACCCTAACCCTAGCTCCAACACTAACCCTAACTCCAACCCTAACCCTAACCCTAACCCTAACCCTAGCTCCAACCCTAACCCATGCATTCCTATGGGAAAAAATCAATTTTTTTTAGGAACGTCCTAGAGACTCGGGAGTTGGTTCATTGCACTCAGAAAAATCCTAGCTCCAAGCCCAACCCTAACCCTAGCTCCAACACTAACCCTAGCTCCAACCCTAACCCTAACCCTAACCCTAGCTCCAACCCTTACCCTAACCCTAACCCATGCATTCCCATGGGAAAAAAATCAAATTTTTTTAGGAACGTCCTAGAGACTCGGGAGTTGGTTCATTGCACTCAGAAAAATCCTAGCTCCAATCCCAACCCTAACCCTAGCTCCAACACTAACCCTAACTCCAACCCTAACCCTAACCCTAACCCTAGCTCCAACCCTAACCCTAACCCTAACCCATGCATTCCTATGGGAAAAAATCTAATTTTTTTAGGAACGTCCTAGAGACTCGGGAGTTGGTTCATTGCACTCAGAAAAATCCTAGCTCCAAGCCCAACCCTAACCCTAGCTCCAACACTAACCCTAACTCCAACCCTAACCCTAACCCTAACCCTAGCTCCAACCCTAACCCTAACCCTAGCTCCAACCTTAACCCTAACCCTAACCCTAGCCCCAACCCTAACCCTAGCTCTAACCCTAACCCTAACCCTAACCCTAGCTCCATCCTAATCCTAACCCTAACCCTAACCCTAGCTCCAACCTTAAACCTAACCCTAACCCTAGCTCCAACCCTAACCCTAACCCAAACCCTAGCTCCAACCCTAACCCTAACCCTAACCCATGCATTCCCATGGGAAAAAATCAAATTTTTTTAGGAACTTCCTAGAGACTCGGGAGTTGGTTCATTGCACTCAGAAAAATCCTAGCTCCAAGCCCAACCCTAACCCTAGCTCCAACACTAACCCTAACTCCAACCCTAACCCTAACCCTAACCCTAGCTCCAACCCTAACCCTAACCCTAACCCATGCATTCCTATGGGAAAAAATCAAATTTTTTTAGGAACGTCCTAGAGACTCGGGAGTTGGTTCATTGCACTCAGAAAAATCCTAGCTCCAAGCCCAACCCTAACCCTAGCTCCAACACTAACCCTAGCTCCAACCCTAACCCTAACCCAAACCCTAGCTCCAACTCTAACCCTAACCATAACCCATGCATTCCTATGGGAAAAAATCAAATTTTTTTAGGAACGTCCTAGAGACTCGGGAGTTGGTTCATTGCACTCAGAAATATCCTAGCTCCAAGCCCAACCCTAACCCTAGCTCCAACACAAACCCTAACTCCAACCCTAACCCCAACCCTAACCCTAGCTCCAACCCTAACCCTAACCCTAACCCTAGCTCCAACCCTAACCCTAACCCTAGCTCCAACCTTAACCCTAACCCTAACCCTAACCCTATCCCCAACCCTAACCCTAGCTCTAACCCTAACCCTAACCCTAGCTCCACCCTAATCCTAACCCTAACCCTAACCCTAGCTCCAACCTTAACCCTAACCCTAACCCTAGCTCCAACCCTAACCCTAACCCAAACCCTAGCTCCAACCCTAACCCTAACCCTAACCCATGCATTCCTATGGGAAAAAATCAATTTTTTTTAGGAACGTCCTAGAGACTCGGGAGTTGGTTCATTGCACTCAGAAAAATCCTAGCTCCAAGCCCAACCCTAACCCTAGCTCCAACACTAACCCTAACTCCAACCCTAACCCTATCCCCAAACCTAACCCTAGCTCCAACACTAACCCTAACTCCAACCCTAACGCTAACACTAACCCTAGCTCCAACCCTAACCCTAACCCTAACCCATGCATTCCTATGGGAAAAAATAAAAAAAATTTTAGGAACGTCCTAGAGACTCGGGAGTTGGTTCATTGCACTCAGAAAAATCCTAGCTCCAAGCCCAACCCTAACCCTAGCTCCAACACTAACCCTAACTCCAACCCTAACCCTAACCCTAACCCTAGCTCCAACCCTTACCCTAACCCTAACCCATGCATTCCCATGGGACAAAATCAATTTTTTTTAGGAACGTCCTAGAGACTCGGGAGTTGGTTCATTGCACTCAGAAAAATCCTAGCTCCAAGCCCAACCCTAACCCTAGCTCCAACACTAACCCTAACTCCAACCCTAACCCTAACCCTAACTCCAACCCTAACCCTAACCCTAACCCTAGCTCCAACCCTAACCCTAACCCTAACCCATGCATTCCTATGGGAAAAAATCAAATTTTTTTAGGAACGTCCTAGAGACTCGGGAGTTGGTTCATTGCACTCAGAAAAATCCTAGCTCCAAGCCCAACCCTAACCCTAGCTCCAACACTAACCCTAACTCCAACCCTGACCCTAACCCTAACCCTAGCTCCAACCCTAACCCTAACCCTAACCCTAGCTCCAACCCTAACCCTAACCCTAACCCTAGCTCCAACCTTAACCCTAACCCTAACCCTAACCCTAGCCCCAACCCTAACCCTAGCTCTAACCCTAACCCTAGCTCCACCCTAATCCTAACCCTAACCCTAACCCTAGCTCCAACCTTAACCCTAACCCTAACCCTAGCTCCAACCCTAACCCTAACCCAAACCCTAGCTCCAACCCTAACCCATGCATTCCCATGGGACAAAATCAAATTTTTTTAGGAACATCCTAGAGACTCGGGAGTTGGTTCATTGCACTCAGAAAAATCCTAGCTCCAAGCCCAACCCTAACCCTAGCTCCAACACTAACCCTAACTCCAACCCTAACCCTAACCCTAACCCTAGCTCCAACCCTAAACCTAACTCCAACCCTAACCCTAACCCTAACCCTAGCTCCAACCCTAAACCTAACCCTAACCCACGCATTCCTATGGGAAAAAATCAAATTTTTTAGGAACGTCCTAGAGACTTGGGAGTTGGTTCATTGCACTCAGAAAAATCCTAGCTCCAAGCCCAACCCTAACCCTAGCTCCAACACTAACCCTAACTCCAACCCTAACCCTAACCCTAACCCTAGCTCGAACCCTAACCCTAACCCTAACCCATGCATTCCTATGGGAAAAAATCAAATTTTTTTAGGAACGTCCTAGAGACTCGGGAGTTGGTTCATTGCACTCAGAAAAATCCTAGCTCCAAGCCCAAACCCTAACCCTAGCTCCAACACTAACCCTAACTCCAACCCTAACCCTAACCCTAACCCTAGCTCCAACCCTAACCCAAATCCTAACCCATGCATTCCCATGGGAAAAAATCAAATTTTTTTAGGAACGTCCTAGAGACTCGGGAGTTGGTTCATTGCACTCAGAAAAATCTTAGCTCCAAGCCCAACCCTAACCCTAGCTCCAACACTAACCCTAACTCCAACCCTAACCATAACCCTAACCCTAGCTCCAACCCTAACCCTAACCCTAGCTCCAACCCTAACCCTAACCCTAACCCTAGCTCCAACCTTAACCCTAACCCTAACCCTAACCCTAGCCCCAACCCTAACCTTAGCTCTAACCCTAACCCTAACCCTAACCCTAGCTCCACCTTAATCCTAACCCTAACCTTAACCCTAGCTCCAACCTTAACCCTAACCCTAACCCTAGCTCCAACCCTAACCCTAACCCAAACCCTAGCTCCAACCCTAACCCTAACCCTAACCCATGCATTCCCATGGGAAAAAATCAAATTTTTTTAGGAACGTCCTAGAGACTCGGGAGTTGGTTCATTGCACTCAGAAAAATCCTAGCTCCAAGCCCAACCCTAACCCTAGCTCCAACACTAACCCTAACTCCAACCCTAACCCTAACCCTAACCCTAGCTCCAACCCTAACCCTAACCCTAACCCATGCATTCCTATGGGAAAAAAATCAAATTTTTTTAGGAACGTCCTAGAGACTCGGGAGTTGGTTCATTGCACTCAGAAAAATCCTAGCTCCAAGCCCAACCCTAACCCTAGCTCCAACACTAACCCTAACTCCAACCCTAACCCTAACCCTAACCCTAGCTCCAACCCTAACCCTAACCCTAGCTCCAACCCTAACCCTAACCCTAACCCTAGCTCCCACCTTAACCCTAACCCTAACCCTAGCCCCAACCCTAGCTCTAACCCTAACCCTAACCCTAGCTCCACCCTAATCCTAACCCTAACCCTAACCCTAGCTCCAACCTTAACCCTAACCCTAACCCTAGCTCCAACCCTAACCCTAACCCAAACCCTAGCTCCAACCCTAACCCTAACCCTAACCCATGCATTCCTATGGGAAAAAATCAATTTTTTTTAGGAACGTCCTAGAGACTCGGGAGTTGGTTCATTGCACTCAGAAAAATCCTAGCTCCAAGCCCAACCCTAACCCTAGCTCCAACACTAACCCTAACTCCAACCCTAACCCTATCCCCAAACCTAACCCTAGCTCCAACACTAACCCTAACTCCAACCCTAACGCTAACACTAACCCTAGCTCCAACCCTAACCCTAACCCTAACCCATGCATTCCTATGGGAAAAAATAAAAAAAATTTTAGGAACGTCCTAGAGACTCGGGAGTTGGTTCATTGCACTCAGAAAAATCCTAGCTCCAAGCCCAACCCTAACCCTAGCTCCAACACTAACCCTAACTCCAACCCTAACCCTAACCCTAACCCTAGCTCCAACCCTTACCCTAACCCTAACCCATGCATTCCCATGGGAAAAAATCAATTTTTTTTAGGAACGTCCTAGAGACTCGGGAGTTGGTTCATTGCACTCAGAAAAATCCTAGCTCCAAGCCCAACCCTAACCCTAGCTCCAACACTAACCCTAACTCCAACCCTAACCCTAACCCTAACCCTAGCTCCAACCCTAACCCTAACCCTAACCCATGCATTCCTATGGGAAAAAATCAAATTTTTTTAGGAACGTCCTAGAGACTCGGGAGTTGGTTCATTGCACTCAGAAATATCCTAGCTCCAAGCCCAACCCTAACCCTAGCTCCAACACAAACCCTAACTCCAACCCTAACCCCAACCCTAACCCTAACCCTAGCTCCAACCCTAACCCTAACCCTAACCCTAGCTCCAACCTTAACCCTAACCCTAACCCTAACCCTAGCCCCAACCCTAACCCTAGCTCTAACCCTAACCCTAGCTCCACCCTAATCCTAACCCTAACCCTAACCCTAGCTCCAACCTTAACCCTAACCCTAACCCTAGCTCCAACCCTAACCCTAACCCAAACCCTAGCTCCAACCCTAACCCATGCATTCCCATGGGACAAAATCAAATTTTTTTAGGAACATCCTAGAGACTCGGGAGTTGGTTCATTGCACTCAGAAAAATCCTAGCTCCAAGCCCAACCCTAACCCTAGCTCCAACACTAACCCTAACTCCAACCCTAACCCTAACCCTAACCCTAACCCTAGCTCCAACCCTAAACCTAACTCCAACCCTAACCCTAACCCTAACCCTAGCTCCAACCCTAAACCTAACCCTAACCCACGCATTCCTATGGGAAAAAATCAAATTTTTTTAGGAACGTCCTAGACACTTGGGAGTTGGTTCATTGCACTCAGAAAAATCCTAGCTCCAAGCCCAACCCTAACCCTAGCTCCAACACTAACCCTAACTCCAACCCTAACCCTAACCCTAACCCTAGCTCGAACCCTAACCCTAACCCTAACCCATGCATTCCTATGGGAAAAAATCAAATTTTTTTAGGAACGTCCTAGAGACTCGGGAGTTGGTTCATTGCACTCAGAAAAATCCTAGCTCCAAGCCCAAACCTAACCCTAGCTCCAACACTAACCCTAACTCCAACCCTAACCCTAACCCTAACCCTAGCTCCAACCCTAACCCAAATCCTAACCCATGCATTCCCATGGGAAAAAATCAAATTTTTTTAGGAACGTCCTAGAGACTCGGGAGTTGGTTCATTGCACTCAGAAAAATCCTAGCTCCAAGCCCAACCCTAACCCTAGCTCCAACACTAACCCTAACTCCAACCCTAACCATAACCCTAACCCTAGCTCCAACCCTAACCCTAACCCTAGCTCCAACCCTAACCCTAACCCTAACCCTAGCTCCAACCTTAACCCTAACCCTAACCCTAACCCTAGCCCCAACCCTAACCTTAGCTCTAACCCTAACCCTAACCCTAACCCTAGCTCCACCTTAATCCTAACCCTAACCTTAACCCTAGCTCCAACCTTAACCCTAACCCTAACCCTAGCTCCAACCCTAACCCTAACCCAAACCCTAGCTCCAACCCTAACCCTAACCCTAACCCATGCATTCCCATGGGAAAAAATCAAATTTTTTTAGGAACGTCCTAGAGACTCGGGAGTTGGTTCATTGCACTCAGAAAAATCCTAGCTCCAAGCCCAACCCTAACCCTAGCTCCAACACTAACCCTAACTCCAACCCTAACCCTAACCCTAACCCTAGCTCCAACCCTAACCCTAACCCTAACCCATGCATTCCTATGGGAAAAAAATCAAATTTTTTTGGGAACGTCCTAGAGACTCGGGAGTTGGTTCATTGCACTCAGAAAAATCCTAGCTCCAAGCCCAACCCTAAACCTAGCTCCAACACTAACCCTAACTCCAACCCTAACCCTAACCCTAACCCTAGCTCCAACCCTAACCCTAACCCTAACCCTAGCTCCAACCCTAACCCTAACCCTAACCCTAGCTCCCACCTTAACCCTAACCCTAACCCTAGCCCCAACCCTAGCTCTAACCCTAACCCTAACCCTAGCTCCACCCTAATCCTAACCCTAACCCTAACCCTAGCTCCAACCTTAACCCTAACCCTAACCCTAGCTCCAACCCTAACCCTAACCCAAACCCTAGCTCCAACCCTAACCCTAACCCTAACCCATGCATTCCCATGGGACAAAATCAAATTGTTTTAGGAACGTCCTAGAAACTCGGGAGTTGGTTCATTGCACTCAGAAAAATCCTAGCTCCAAGCCCAACCCTAACCCTAGCTCCAACACTAACCCTAACTCCAACCCTAACCCTAACCCTAACCCTAGCTCCAACCCTAACCCTAACCCTAACCCATGCATTCCACGGGAAAAAAACAAATTTTTTTAAGGAACGTCCTAGAGACTCGGGAGTTGGTTCATTGCACTCAGAAAAATCCTAGCTCCAAGCCCAACCCTAACCCTAGCTCCAACACTAACCCTAACTCCAACCCTAACCCTAACCCTAACCCTAGCTCCAACCCTAACCCATGCATTCCTATGGGAAAAAATCAAATTATTTTAGGAACGTCCTATAAGACTCGGGAGTTGGTTCATTGCACTCAGAAAAATCCTAGCTCCAAGCCCAACCCTAACCCTAGCTCCAACACTAACCCTAGCTCCAACCCTAACCCTAACCCTAACCCTAGCTCCAACCCTAACCCTAACCCTAACCCATGCATTCCTATGGGAAAAAATCAATTTTTTTTAGGAACGTCCTAGAGACTCGGGAGTTGGTTCATTGCACTCAGAAAAATCCTAGCTCCAAGCCCAACCCTAACCCTAGCTCCAACACTAACCCTAACTCCAACCCTAACCCTAACCCTAACCCTAGCTCCAACCCTAACCCTAACCCTAACCCATGCATTCCCCGGGAAAAAATCAAATTTTTTAAGGAACGTCCTAGAGACTCGGGAGTTGGTTCATTGCACTCAGAAAAATCCTAGCTCCAAGCCCAACCCTAACCCTAGCTCCAACACTAACCCTAACTCCAACCCTAACCCTAAACCTAACCCTAGCTCCAACCCTAACCCTAACCCTAACCCTGCAACCCTATGACACCACCCACCACCTAACCCTAACCTAACCCAGCTCCAACCTAACCCTAACCTAACCCATCCAATAACCTAGACCCTAAGCCATTGGTTACTCAGAATTAGCCAAGCCCAACCTAACCCTAGCTCCAACACTAACCCTAACTCCAACCTAACCCTAACCCTAACCCTAGCTCCAACCCTAACCCTAACCCTAACCCATGCATTCCACGGGAAAAAATCAAATTTTTAAGGAACGTCCTAGAGACTCGGGAGTTGGTTCATTGCACTCAGAAAAATCCTAGCTCCAAGCCCAACCCTAACCCTAGCTCCAACACTAACCCTAACTCCAACCCTAACCCTAAACCTAACCCTAGCTCCAACCCTAACCCATGCATTCCTATGGGAAAAAAATCTAATTTTTTTAGGAACGTCCTATAAGACTCGGGAGTTGGTTCATTGCACTCAGAAAAATCCTAGCTCCAAGCCCAACCCTAACCCTAGCTCCAACACTAACCCTAGCTCCAACCCTAACCCTAACCCTAACCCTAGCTCCAACCCTAACCCTAACCCTAACCCATGCATTCCTATGGGAAAAAAATCTAATTTTTTTAGGAACGTCCTAGAGACTCGGGAGTTGGTTCATTGCACTCAGAAAAATCCTAGCTCCAAGCCCAAACCTAACCCTAGCTCCAACACTAACCCTAACTCCAACCCTAACCCTAACCCTAACCCTAGCTCCAACCCTAACCCAAATCCTAACCCATGCATTCCCATGGGAAAAAATCAAATTTTTTTAGGAACGTCCTAGAGACTCGGGAGTTGGTTCATTGCACTCAGAAAAATCCTAGCTCCAAGCCCAACCCTAACCCTAGCTCCAACACTAACCCTAACTCCAACCCTAACCATAACCCTAACCCTAGCTCCAACCCTAACCCTAACCCTAGCTCCAACCCTAACCCTAACCCTAACCCTAGCTCCAACCTTAACCCTAACCCTAACCCTAACCCTAGCCCCAACCCTAACCTTAGCTCTAACCCTAACCCTAACCCTAACCCTAGCTCCACCTTAATCCTAACCCTAACCTTAACCCTAGCTCCAACCTTAACCCTAACCCTAACCCTAGCTCCAACCCTAACCCTAACCCAAACCCTAGCTCCAACCCTAACCCTAACCCTAACCCATGCATTCCCATGGGAAAAAATCAAATTTTTTTAGGAACGTCCTAGAGACTCGGGAGTTGGTTCATTGCACTCAGAAAAATCCTAGCTCCAAGCCCAACCCTAACCCTAGCTCCAACACTAACCCTAACTCCAACCCTAACCCTAACCCTAACCCTAGCTCCAACCCTAACCCTAACCCTAACCCATGCATTCCTATGGGAAAAAAATCAAATTTTTTTGGGAACGTCCTAGAGACTCGGGAGTTGGTTCATTGCACTCAGAAAAATCCTAGCTCCAAGCCCAACCCTAAACCTAGCTCCAACACTAACCCTAACTCCAACCCTAACCCTAACCCTAACCCTAGCTCCAACCCTAACCCTAACCCTAACCCTAGCTCCAACCCTAACCCTAACCCTAACCCTAGCTCCCACCTTAACCCTAACCCTAACCCTAGCCCCAACCCTAGCTCTAACCCTAACCCTAACCCTAGCTCCACCCTAATCCTAACCCTAACCCTAACCCTAGCTCCAACCTTAACCCTAACCCTAACCCTAGCTCCAACCCTAACCCTAACCCAAACCCTAGCTCCAACCCTAACCCTAACCCTAACCCATGCATTCCCATGGGACAAAATCAAATTGTTTTAGGAACGTCCTAGAAACTCGGGAGTTGGTTCATTGCACTCAGAAAAATCCTAGCTCCAAGCCCAACCCTAACCCTAGCTCCAACACTAACCCTAACTCCAACCCTAACCCTAACCCTAACCCTAGCTCCAACCCTAACCCTAACCCTAACCCATGCATTCCACGGAAAAAAAACAAATTTTTTTAAGGAACGTCCTAGAGACTCGGGAGTTGGTTCATTGCACTCAGAAAAATCCTAGCTCCAAGCCCAACCCTAACCCTAGCTCCAACACTAACCCTAACTCCAACCCTAACCCTAACCCTAACCCTAGCTCCAACCCTAACCCATGCATTCCTATGGGAAAAAATCAAATTTTTTTAGGAACGTCCTATAAGACTCGGGAGTTGGTTCATTGCACTCAGAAAAATCCTAGCTCCAAGCCCAACCCTAACCCTAGCTCCAACACTAACCCTAGCTCCAACCCTAACCCTAACCCTAACCCTAGCTCCAACCCTAACCCTAACCCTAACCCATGCATTCCTATGGGAAAAAATCAATTTTTTTAGGAACGTCCTAGAGACTCGGGAGTTGGTTCATTGCACTCAGAAAAATCCTAGCTCCAAGCCCAACCCTAACCCTAGCTCCAACACTAACCCTAACTCCAACCCTAACCCTAACCCTAACCCTAGCTCCAACCCTAACCCTAACCCTAACCCATGCATTCCACGGGAAAAAATCAAATTTTTTTAAGGAACGTCCTAGAGACTCGGGAGTTGGTTCATTGCACTCAGAAAAATCCTAGCTCCAAGCCCAACCCTAACCCTAGCTCCAACACTAACCCTAACTCCAACCCTAACCCTAAACCTAACCCTAGCTCCAACCCTAACCCATGCATTCCTATGGGAAAAAAATCTAATTTTTTTAGGAACGTCCTATAAGACTCGGGAGTTGGTTCATTGCACTCAGAAAAATCCTAGCTCCAAGCCCAACCCTAACCCTAGCTCCAACACTAACCCTAGCTCCAACCCTAACCCTAACCCTAACCCTAGCTCCAACCCTAACCCTAACCCTAACCCATGCATTCCTATGGGAAAAAATCAAATTTTTTTAGGAACGTCCTAGAGACTCGGGAGTTGGTTCATTGCACTCAGAAAAATCCTAGCTCCAAGCCCAACCCTAACCCTAGCTCCAACACTAACCCTAACTCCAACCCTAACCCTAACCCTAACCCTAGCTCCAACCCTAACCCTAACCCTAACCCATGCATTCCACGGGAAAAAATCAAATTTTTTTAAGGAACGTCCTAGAGACTCGGGAGTTGGTTCATTGCACTCAGAAAAATCCTAGCTCCAAGCCCAACCCTAACCCTAGCTCCAACACTAACCCTAACTCCAACCCTAACCCTAAACCTAACCCTAGCTCCAACCCTAACCCATGCATTCCTATGGGAAAAAAATCTAATTTTTTTAGGAACGTCCTATAAGACTCGGGAGTTGGTTCATTGCACTCAGAAAAATCCTAGCTCCAAGCCCAACCCTAACCCTAGCTCCAACACTAACCCTAGCTCCAACCCTAACCCTAACCCTAACCCTAGCTCCAACCCTAACCCTAACCCTAACCCATGCATTCCTATGGGAAAAAATCAAATTTTTTTAGGAACGTCCTAGAGACTCGGGAGTTGGTTCATTGCACTCAGAAAAATCCTAGCTCCAAGCCCAACCCTAACCCTAGCTCCAACACTAACCCTAACTCCAACCCTAACCCTAACCCTAACCCTAGCTCCAACCCTAACCCTAACCCTAACCCATGCATTCCACGGGAAAAAATCAAATTTTTTTAAGGAACGTCCTAGAGACTCGGGAGTTGGTTCATTGCATTCAGAAAAATCCTAGCTCCAAGCCCAACCCTAACCCTAGCTCCAACACTAACCCTAACTCCAACCCTAACCCTAACCCTAACCCTAGCTCCAACCCTAACCCCAACCCTAACCCATGCATTCCTATGGGAAAAAATCAATTTTTTTTAGGAACGTCCTAGAGACTCGGGAGTTGGTTCATTGCACTCAGAAAAATCCTAGCTCCAAGCCCAACCCTAGCTCCAACACTAACCCTAACTCCAACCCTAACCCTAACCCTAACCCTAGCTCCAACCCTAACCCAAATCCTAACCCATGCATTCCCATGGGAAAAAATCAATTTTTTTTAGGAACGTCCTAGAGACTCGGGAGTTGGTTCATTGCACTCAGAAAAATCCTAGCACCAAGCCCAACCCTAACCCTAGCTCCAACACTAACCCTAACTCCAACCCTAACCCTAACCCTAGCTCCAACCCTAACCCAAATCCTAACCCATGCATTCCCATGGGAAAAAATCAATTTTTTTTAGGAATGTCCTAGAGACTCGGGAGTTGGTTCATTGCACTCAGAAAAATCCTATCTCCAAGCCCAACCCTAACCCTAGCTTCAACACTAACCCTAACGCCAACCCTAACCCTAACCCTAACCCTAGCTCCAACCCTAACCCTAACCCTAACCCTAGCTCCAACCTTAACCCTAACCCTAACCCTAACCCTAACCCTAGCTCCAACCCCACACCTAACCCTAACCCTAGCTCCAACCTTAAACAACTAAAGGTATAGTAAAGTTTTGCGGGTAACTTAATATAACCACAGTACATGGTACTAAGACACTATCAATCTTGAATTCACTGGTGTTGAACTCAGATAACCTCAGTAGTTTTACAAGAATGTAATTATATGACAGGGCCTTTTAGACAGGTGGTGTTAATTTTATAGAGGGAACCAAAGCATACAAGAAAAAGGCTGAGCCTTGAGTATAAAAATGATTACTATCTAGTCTGGAGGAGGTCTTTCCTTCCTCTTCCTCCCCTTAAAGCATAAAGGAGCACCGGATCTTCCCAAAGAGCGACCTCAATCCCCCTGATGCGTCATTCCTCAAAAAGAGGTTTAAAGTAATTAGGAAAAAATTCTAGTTGCCTCTCTTGCTTCTGTGTGCAACCATTAAATGGTATTGGCTTGGAAGAATGTGCTCTTTCGCCCTCTGCTCAATGCTGGTTCAGCTTATTTGGAGGAGGAGGAGGACAGCAGCACGGGTTTAAAGAAAAAGCACAATCCTGATTCTGGCAGTAACTCTGGGAGTGTGGGTATTGAACCCCCAGAGTTTATGGTGTAATGTGTGGGTGAGCCTTTTCATTTTTCCAACAAAGAGAAACCCAAAATGCCTAAAGCCATCGCATGAAACAGGAACTGGTTTGCATGTAATTACCCACAGGAAAGTTCTCAGTCTCACTTCTTTTGCGTTGTTGCCATGTTCCCAGACATTTGAGTACAGTTTTCGTCATTTTCTGTCAGGGTCAAACAGGACACACAACATTAACAAAAATAAGTTGTGACAGCAGGACAGCTAGACTAAACCCACTTCACTTTTTGTCAAACCTGAGTCACAAACTACAAAATTAAGCTTCCATTTGTCATACTTTGCACCGACCTGCTTCATGCTGCTTTTACTAGCTGTCTGTATAGTATGAAGACTCATGTCAATGTTGTTCTGCTGGGTACATGTTTGACTGTTCATTATGTTGTACATTAAATGGTTGTGGTCTCATTGATGTTGCCTGTTTGTTCCTGGAAAGAGTTTTTTTTTTTTTAAGCCATCTTTGTCAAGTTATTACACATCATGACTTAGAGTAATGTTATTCTGCGAAAATATGGTTAAACATATTTACATTTGGATTATCTTTACCTGTTTGGTTTCAAATACAGTCAGATAAATCAATTACCAGTCAAAATTAATCACTCAGGAGTCAGGTTGTTCTTGAGTTTGTGTCTAGGACTTGAGCCAGCACTACATCGTAAATCTGAAATCAAACACCTGGCTGATCACTCTCTCTGTAAGTTCTCATTTCTCACTTTTACTGCAAGCAAGTCTTGAATTTAGAAACCAGTAAACATCCTGTCACATATACTGAAGACAAAACAATCATAATTTCATTTGACATGCATGTCTCAAACAGATATCATGAAATTAAAACAGAATTTAACTTTGAATGGACAACTACTTGAGTCTTGCAAGGCAGAAAGAAAGTCTGTGATTTTCCTATGAGTGATATTTAAACACGCCAAAAGATTTTATTGAATGATGACCAACGAACCCATTGTTCACTTGATACCATGCTTTACCCAAACCAAACCAACACACAAGCAGAAAACCACAGTTTAGTTTGACATCATGATGTAACATCAGCGCCAAACTAACATTCACTCGTCTGCTATTCCTGGTTTCCCAAAAGTGCAAACTTTTACTGGAACAGTTGTGGGAATGACACAAGGATGTCCAAACAGTTTTTCAATGATTCACATTTTTTTATTGCTTAGTTTAGTTGCAAAGCATCTTCGAATAAGCAGAAAGATTGGGTTTAAAGGGGCTAAGAGGCAGGAAATACTTTCAAGTAAGAGGTACACACAGCTGTGCGTTTTCATTAGACATGCTAATTTCAGCCAAGAAAGTTTTTCAAGTCAAAGAAAAAAATAAAGCAGCTTCCAGTCAAGCAGCAGGCATTCCTAGTATTTTGAGTATAATTTGTTGTTACATTTAGGGCGCTATGGGACACACAAAAGTGAGAACAGATCACCATATTTACTGACACATTGTCTAAGTTTGTTTTTATCTACCTTTAAGAAAGACCAAAAGAAAATCTCTCTGCCTCCAAAAGCTGGAATCTAAGCTTTCATGCAGATGGAAAATGTGAGCTGATGAAGAGCAAACAGTGGAAAAAGTCCCGGATATGGTTTGAAAGTTTCTAATTGAAGCAGACAGCTCCTGACTGCGCAGACAAGGATCCCATTTTCTCTACATATTTCTCAGCAGTGAGTGAGGCGTTCAGGCCGTGAATAAATAAATCAATAAAAACTCAAAGGTGTGAAGCCTCTGGGTAACTTTGAACGTCACCTCTTTGAGAGAAGGCAAACATCACAGAACTTTGTCAAGAACTAAAAGGAAAAGGCCCTGAATGAAGATCATTGGTACGACTATGGCCTGATGTGTTGTTGTTTGGCTGAGTGACAAACAAAATGGATTGTGGGTAGTGAGAGTGCTTTCAAAGATGACTCTGGCTGTGTCTCTTCACAAGCCCTCCTTTCATTACAAATCTGCCAGGTTTGTTTTTTCTAGCTTTAGCTGCTCTTATTCTGTTTTTGTAGCATCACAATTCTTTCCATCATTCAAAACTGAGTCAACTTTGTATTGCTTACCCAAATTGGAAAGTTTAGCTCTCATTCTCAACCCGCCAGTGGAAATATTGTGATTTGATTAAGGTGACTCCCCCGTGCAGAACTCTTGATTTTGTTATGGATGCACGGATCGTACCTGATGTTCAAACCTGCTTCTTCAGACTTTCTTTTTGCTTGCACTGGAGAGATGTCAGCCTTACTTTATTTTTTCCAACAACACTGAGTTTTCCAACAAAAACTGCTGATTAGCAAAGCAGCCTAACACTTGCATGTGCCTCGTGCACATGGGGCATTATTTTTAGTCATAAATGACTGCAGATGTTGCACATTAGACCAACAGTGTTAGTGTGCATGGAGAAATAGTAAAAGCTGAGGCTGCTGCAGGTTAAACACCCACTCCAGTGAAAATCATGTTTTTCTTGTTGTCTACATGTTCATGTGGCATTTTTCTGATGCTACAGGACATATCATGAGAAAAGTAAGTGCGAAATTGCATTTCTGAGTGTTTCTGCATTGAAATGGCTGTGGATCTCTGGGAGACTCAAAAAGTAGGATCAGATAGAGTGAGATTTCATACATCATAAATCTAAGCTCCACCCTCGGTGCCCCGCTACGCAGGTCAGACAATCGCGGAACAAGCGTGTGTATTAGCAGATTGCAATGCTCGTAAGAAAGCCAATTATGATATGAACTTTCATCATGTCGCTAAAGACGTTAGCTACAAGATGGCGTGAAGAGGAGGGTGCAGAGCAGTGCTGTTTCCGCTTATGACTCAGAGGCAAATTGCTAATGATCTTCTGGGGCTCTGATGAAAAGCCCTCGAAAATGACAGATGTAACATGATTTTGGCTAAAAACTTCATAATCGTAATCTAAAGACCACTGAGAACACTTTTAATAGTAAAAAAAAAAAAAAAAAGGACCAGAGTGAGACTTTTAACATTTTAACTTGAGATAGCACTAAAGGCAAAAGTCTTAGGATTAAAACTTGTTATATTATATTGTTCCAGTATCACTGAACGTAAGTAGGCCAATATGCACAATACCAAAGCTATTACACTGAAGCAGCATAATAGATTTCAGACATTGTTTGGTTGATCTACATCTATTTACTGCTGTGACAAGTCAAAATGTTTATCCTCGGCACTCTGCTTACATCTGTCCTGCCTCCAAATCTCCTCGCAGTAAAGAAAGTGAACATTTGAAGGTGCCTGGAGAGCTTTCCTTAAATAAAACAAAATCCTGTTTACATTTTGTTTCCTGAGAAAAAGACCAGGTGGTGTTTCTCAGACACAACAAACATTTATTCATGCACATAATACTCACACAGCTGATTGTTTGTATAAAAGAAACGTAACGTTTCCATCGATGTTAGCTTACTGTGTTCTCTGCTGCTCTTGACTGTTTTGCACATTGCAGCACTCACTCTCAGCCACTTTTGTGACATCTTCAGGAGGAATGTGTATTGTTCTGCCAGCGTCAGTCTGCCTGGGCATATTGTAAACAAAACAAATAAGCCTTTGTTAAATAAAAAGTGCTCCAAAGCTTTACTGTGGGTCAAACTCTGTACTGGTACGGCACATGCAGAGAGTATAATCTTTGTTTTAAAAGACTGCAGATGTCGCACATGGAACCCACTAAGGATAAAGGGAAGGTAATGGCTCAGACTGGATCTGTGGCAGGTACCACTGAAATACATTTTCAACAAAAACCAGAGGGGTATACTGTACTGCAAGGTTAAGCAACCAAACCAAAGTTTTCTATAAGTGAGTCGGCTCCACACAGCCTGAATGTATCAGGTACCACAAAGGGGAGGTCTCGGTTCAACTCCTGGGCACTGCCAAGGTCCAAGTGTGAGGCGATCCCTTGCTGTGGCATCACTCCATTAGAGCATATTCCTGTTTCCTGTTTGTGCGTGTCTGGGTATTCCAGCCTATGTGTGTGTAGTCTAATTCAACACCAAAGTGAAAAAAAAAAATGAATTCCCGTTTGGATGGATAAAGTAGATCCTGTCCAAAGATGGCTATGAACTGTTCCTGTTAACTCTGGCTTTCTCTCAAGGCTCACACTCTCAGTCACAGATGATGCAGGTGCATTAATGTCCTCATCCACACAAAAAATAAAAAATCGCCAGGGGTTTGCTTTAGTCAGACTGTTCAAAAGAGGAATGGTGATGCCTGCAGGAAAATAACAATGCAACCCTGACTTTGACAATGGATGATTCCAACTAGAGAATTAGTGTAAATACTTACAGATGCAGCATTTCAACAGACTTGGCAGAAGTGCAAGCATAAAAACATAATCTTGTGTCCTTAGATCCTCTGCCCTCATCATTCTTTCACTTTATAAATCTGCTTAAATATAAATCACTAATTCACCATACAGCAAACAGATAAATATGAGAAGAGGTAAACTAACAAACTGCATGTAGGCTACCATAATGTGATTCATGAAGCATAACTTTTCAATAACCATATTTGCCCTATGTTAGGTTTGTGAGAAACTTCATTAGGCATTGGTGAATAAAATGGCAAATCTTCAGCGCTTAATACAGAACATAGCCTGATCCAAACTGGGCTACAAGTTTAGAGAAAGTTATTATCATGAAAGAATCGCCTTGGAGAAAGGTTCAAAGAGTACAGCTCTGTGACACAGAAAAACCCCAGGGCTGGATTACCCTCTAATCTTGTTTATGGACCACAATCCAATCTAAACCATGTACTCCCATTAAAACAATACTGCTCCATTTGTGCTACTTCTGGTTAAATTTTTTGTTGGCTACCTGTTAAGATCGGGTAATACATTTCATTTAACTCTGATAATATTCAAACAAAATTTAAAGATACATACAAGTCTTTGCATGGATTGGTTTCCCCTCTGAGAACATATTGTCTTGATATGGTAAGTTTTCACAAGGCCCTATTTTCATTCTTCCACTATGAGATGGCATTGATAGTCTCTAATTTTCAAATGTATTTGTAGGACGTGACTCGCAACATCTGGAATCAAACAGGCCAGTATCTCTGACTCATCCCTCACACGCTGGAACGACTGGGCTTTCCCAGTCGCTTGGAGGCAGCACTGTTCCTCAAACGGGAAGTGTGCGAGTGTCCGTCATCACAAACTTGGCCTCAGTGGCCCAAGCTGCATGGCTCACAGCCAGAGGATCTCACACTCTAGTGGAAGTCTGCCTGCTGACTCACTGCAGAAGGACACCATAAGTGACTCAAACAGACGAACAAACAGAGAGGTCTCTCTGTATCCATCCATGATAGTATCCAAAAAAAGCAGCTGTGCAAATTAATAATAATATAGTTCTCCTTACTGAGGTCTGGATTGCATAGTGCATCCAAGGACCCAACTGCAGCTCATTTCTTACAGCACATATTGCATAAATGCTCTTGCACTCAACAAATCAGAGTCAAATTCAATGGACTCATTGTTCTTTCACGGTTTGTCATCAGTCCCTGCCACTAAAATTACTTTTAGGGGAAAAAAAGAGATTACTGCCACAAGACGTCCATTAATTCAATATTAAGTGGTATTAAAGTTATACTCAAAACATCTGCTATAACTTATCCTCTTGTTAAAGATTAACATTAGCATCTAGTTTGTAAAATGCTGTGAGAAATGCCCTTATGAACAAAAGAGGATGACTCTTACAAGTAGGGGTTTCCTCCTTTTAGGGATTTGTAAATGTTCAGGCACTTTTCTTTTCTATTTTAGACACTGTTGTTTAAACAAGACCCAACTCTGGTAAAGTTCACTCAATTCCCACTGAAACATAGGAGGCATTTGTTTCTCATTGACGGAAGCCTTCTGTGGATCACTGTTGGCCAGCAGAGAGCTGCAGTAATGAATCATTTTCATTCACCGTATATGATATTGCAGCATCAGACCCTTTTAAGTTTTTGGACAGAAGCAACCAGAAACATTGCCACCCTTTCAACAAGAAGCCCATGATCCTCTCTTGGAGGAGATCTGACTGTATGACAGTTTTAAAAGGCAGACAGTCCTTCTTTATGAGGAGGTGATGTCCTCTGAAAAAGATGGATACAGTGTGGTTGGAAAGTAGAACCATTTTCATCATGATAACTTTCTAATCTGCAGACAGGAAAATGAAATCACCTTGTCCTGGAGCTGGGACTGTTTGCAGGTGTTCATGTAAAATAATACAGGTTACCTCACAGGAATCCCCGGGATTAGCCTGGAACTACCTCCGAATCACGCTACAGCCAGTCATCCACTTACCTCCTCAGCCTGGGAAAAGAGTGATTATAATCTAACTGCTGTGAGATCTAACCAAAGCCAGAGGGAGGGGGATTGTGTGCATTTTTCCAACCTAATCCACGCTGTTGTTTTCAGTAAACCTTTTGTTGGGTGGAGAAAACTTAGAAAACATATCCAGACATCTGCTGAATCCTGGCTGAAGCTTCAGTAACAACACTGAAATACTACAGCTAGCTTTGTTAATGGATAACACATGGGCAGTAGTGTGTTTTAAGAGAAAGGTGAAGTAAATATGACAGCAGATTCAATTTATGAGTGATGGATGAGAGGAGACGTCTTGTATTTAGCACCGTGCTCGTCTACTTGTCTTCAGCGTGACTTGAATAAGTGCCCAAGCTTAAAGGCTCAATCTTTGCCCAAATCTGAATCATCATCTCCAATGGTGAGAAATACCAACCCACACCCTTGTTTGACATAATAACTGTTTTTACATCGTTAATATGATAAGCTCTAAAACTCAATCCCAAATCCTGAATATATGGTGGTTTAGGCTGATATGGGAGTGTTGTAAGGTGGTATAGGTGGGCTATATATAAAACCCAACAGTAATTTAAAGAAGCCTGAGAGTTTGGGAGATTAGCTCTCCCACTGAGGATGATGTCATGAGAATCTTACTGATGACAACGGTCAAATGTCACTTCCCACTCATCAAAGTGACCAAGCCCACTTCTGGGTAAAAACCAGCACTGCAAAAGGACTGGTAAAAGACTGAAAAGCAGCACCAAAGCCTAACTCTGTTGCATGCTCCAGCATTTATAAAAGCACAACTTAAGATATTACATTCTTTCTAAAACAGCAAAGAATTTTTAATGCATAAAAACTTGGTGGGGGGTAGGTGTCAGACCAGCTGATTGACCGCAGGTTCATTAAAACAGCTTTTTTTGACTTTCACTTGTACAGGACTGTAAATAAGAGGTATCATTTTGTCCACAGGGGGCACCAATGTCGACACAAACCAAAATTTTGTTTTGTCATATCTGTGAAGTTTCCTTTTACTTCTGTTAATTTATTGGTTACACTTCCTTTATTTTTGCACATTTATGTTTTGTTTCATGTCATGCATTTCCTGCTTTATTTTGTAGTTTACTAACCCTTGTCTCTGGCTGTGTCCCAAATGAATCACTCAAGCCCTAGCCCCTAACCCCCATATGGGGTTTCACTATACAGCTGACGATATAGTGGGCTCAATCACTGGAGGTTTCGGACACTACATGGCGCACCATTGTGACGTCACTGCTCAGACTGCCGTGTCTGAAGTTACGGCTGTTGTTTTCAAATCTCTTGAATTTTATGATGTTGTATGAGTATTTGTTTTTCCAGGATGTTCGTGAAATAAAAATGAATAAAAAAAAATAAAAAAAATAATAATTTACTTAAAAGACCTTGTATTTTTGTGCCGAATATTGTTTGCTGTGTCATATTGTGCACAAGAATATATGACGCAGCAAACAATCGTTTTTCGAAAAATATATGGATCACTTGCGAGTGAAGTTAAGATAAAAAACTTGTGCTGAAAATAGCAAATAGAGCTTGGGTTCTGTCTCTTCTTCATCCACCGTTGAGTGACCATCGGATCGTCACTACATTCTGCAATGCTCTATGGGAAATTTTGAGTTGCCCATATGGGGCATTGGAATTGATCACTCAAGTTTTGGACACCCCTCAAAATGGTGCTAACCCCCAGATAGTCGCCTATATAGGGGTCAGGGATCGATTTCGAACACAGCCATAGTGTAGTCGTTGTT